CTCGATCGCAGTGGTGGGTGATAGGGCTAGCTGAGCTATGACAGTGATCGGGCTCTCCATCCATACTCCGGGTGCTGGTGCATGACGCTTGGGCACTGGCCTCACTTGACAATTGCGGACAGATGGCGCAGTACTGTATGACTGCCTGTTACGGCCTGTTGTGTTTTTCCTCTCCTTCTGCCCTAATCACAGGTGTCCTGTATGTTCCTGATTGCTGGTCGTTGGGGTGTCTGCTGATTGCTAAGGTGGACCAATCAGTGAACATTCCTCTGCATTGCACCACCTGTTTCTGGTTTTTCAATCACACATCCCATTGTTTAAAAGCCGGTCAGTTGTTTGGTAACTTTGTTAGAGACTATTTCCGTATGTGAGTATGGATACTGTGGTGTCCTGTGTTTTGTTTACTCACTTAGTTGCTGGTTACTCTGTTTGGTAACTTTGTGTGTTTCTGGGAAAAGGGTAGTTTAAGCAAGTTGCCCTTGGGCGTACAATACCCGTAGGAAGAAAACAGTCTAAAAACACTAGTTAGACCTGAGCGGACCACCCACTGTAATTTTTGTACGATTAGCAGTAGCTTAGCGGTTCTTGAGGCAGGCAAGATCAGTTTAGTTTTTTTTTTACACTATTGTTTCATTTCTTGGGTCCTGCTCAGCCCTTTTTCCCAAACCTTTACCGTGTGTTCAAAAATAAACCTTTTATGTTTGACGGTAGTTTATGGTTGTCGTGTAGTTTTTGGTTCTCACTGTTCCATGTCACGCTTCTAATTCGCATGAATTATGTTACGGGTCTCATGTCCATCCACCCTAGACGTTTAAAGCCACGGGGTTCGTAACACTGCCGTCTTGAGACCTCCAACCCAACTTTCTCTCTCTCTCTTGCTCTCTCTCTCTCTCTCTCTCTGCTGCTTTATTGGCATGAAAAACATTGTGTCAATATTGCCAAAGCAACAATGTCAAATCAAATCAAAATCAAATCAAATTTTATTGGTCACATGCGCCGAATACAACAGGTGCAGACATTACAGTGAAATGCTTACTTACAGCCCTTAACCAACAGTGCATTTATTTTAAACAAAAAAGTAAGAATAAAACAACAACAAAAAAGTGTTGAGAAAAAAAGAGCAGAAGTAAAAAATAAAGTGACAGTAGGGAGGCTATATATACAATAGAATAAAGTGACAGTAGGGAGGCTATATATACAGGGGGGTACCGTTGCATAGTCAATGTGCGGGGGCACCGGCCAGTTGAGGCAGTTGAGGCAATATGTACATGTGGGTAGAGTTAAAGTGACTATGCATAAATACTTAACAGAGTAGCAGCAGCGTAAAAAGGATGGGGTGGGGGGGCAGTGCAAATAGTCCGGGTAGCCATGATTAGCTGTTCAGGAGTCTTATGGCTTGGGGGTAGAAGCTGTTGAGAAGTCTTTTGGACCTAGACTTGGCACTCCGGTACCGCTTGCCGTGCGGTAGCAGAGAGAACAGTCTATGACTAGGGTGACTGGAGTCTTTGACAATTTTGAGGGCCTTCCTCTGACACCGCCTGGTATAGAGGTCCTGGATGGCAGGGAGCTTTGCCCCAGTGATGTACTGGGCCGTACGCACTACCCTCTGTAGTGCCTTGCGGTCAGAGGCCAAGCAGTTGCCATACCAGGCGGTGATGCAACCAGTCAGGATGCTCTCGATGGTGCAGCTGTAGAATTTTTTGAGGATCTGAGGACCCATGCCAAATCTTTTTAGTCTCCTGAGGGGGAATAGGCTTTGTCGTGCCCTCTTCACGACTGTCTTGGTGTGTTTGGACCATGATAGTTCGTTGGTGATGTGGACACCAAGGAACTTGAAGCTCTCAACCTGTTCCACTACAGCCCCGTCGATGAGAATGGGGGCGTGCTCAGTCCTCTTTTTTTTCCTGTAGTCCACAATCATCTCCTTTGTCTTGGTCACGTTGAGGGAGAGGTTGTTGTCCTGGCACCACACGGCCAGATCTCTGACCTCCTCCCTATAGGCTGTCTCATCGTTGTCGGTGATCAGGCCTACCACTGTTGTGTCGTCGGCAAACTTAATGATGGTGTTGGAGTCGTGCCTGGCCATGCAGTCAGGTGACCAGAGAGTACAGGAGGGACTGAGCACGCACGCCCTGAGGGGCCCGTGTTGAGTATCAGTGTTGCAGATGTTTTTGTTACCTACCCTTACCACTGGGGGCGGCCCGTCAGGAATTCCAGGATCCAGTTGCCAGAGGGATGTGTTTAGTCCCCAGGATCTTTAGCTTAGTGATGAGCTTTGAGGGCACTAGGGTGTTGAATGCTGAGCTGGTAGTCAATGATAGCCATTCTCAGTGTGTTCCTCTTTGTCCAGGTGTGAAAGGGCAGTGTGGAGTGCGATAGAGAATTGCATCATCTGTGATCTGTTGGGGCGGTATTAATTAAAATAATAAAAAAAATTGAGTTATTAATCAATAACACAAAATGGTAACAGTTCAATAGGTATAAATATAGCAAATCTAAATATGGAAAATGAACTTAACTACTAATACCTGGATCCTCTTCACCATTATATCAGTACTACAACTACCATCATTACCACCACCATCATTAAACGGGCCATCATTACCATTACCACCCATACCACTACTTTTTGGAATGATAAACAACAATAATAATGGTAATAGCAATAATAATAAGTACGTTACTATTTATTATGCAGATGTTATTATTCAGTGTCCCTCAGGCTATGGCAGGCAAATACATATTTGGCTGCAAGAGGAGCCATAGCTCCTTCGCCTATGAGTATTTTTAGTTTTTCCTCTGGGTTTAATAAGTTAAAATTTTGAGAAAATCTAGTCATTTCTATGAATAATGAATCTCTTTGTGAGGAATATTTATCACAGTAAAGGAGAAAGTGCATTTCTGTTTCTACCTCCCCTGTTGTGCAGTGACCACATACAGTGGGGGAAAAAGTATTTAGTCAGCCACCAATTGTGCTCCCACTTAAAAAGATGAGAGGCCTGTAATTGTCATCATAGGTACATGTTAACTAAGACAGACAAAATGAGAAAAAAAAATCCAGAAAATCACATTGTAGGATTTTTTATGAATTTATTTGCAAATTATGGTGGAAAATAAGTATTTGGTCAATAACAAAAGTTTCTCAATACTTTGTTATATACCCTTTGTTGGCAATGACACAGGTCAAACGTTTTCTGTAAGTCCTCAAGGTTTTCACACACTGTTGCTGGTATTTTGGCCCATTCCTCCATGCAGAACTCCTCTAGAGCAGTGATGTTTTGGGGCTGTCGCTGGGCAACACGGACTTTCAACTCCCTCCAAAGATTTTCTATGGGGTTGAGATCTGGAGACTGGCTAGGCCACTCCAGGACCTTGAAATGCTTCTTACGAAGCCACTCCTTTGTTGCCCGGGCGGTGTGTTTGGGATCATTGTCATGCTGAAAGACCCAGCCACGTTTCATCTTCAATGCCCTTGCTGATGGAAGGAGGTTTTCACTCAAAATCTCACGATACATGGCCCCATTCATTCTTTCCTTTACACGGATCAGTCGTCCTGGTCCCTTTGCAGAAAAACAGCCCCAAAGCATGATGTTTCCACCCCCATGCTTCACAGTAGGTATGGTGTTCTTTGGATGCAACTCAGCATTCTTTGTCCTCCAAACACGACGAGTTGAGTTTTTACCAAAAAGTTCTATTTTGGTTTCATCTGACCATATGACATTCTCCCAATCCTCTTCTGGATCATCCAAATGCACTCTAGCAAACTTCAGACGGGCCTGGACATGTACTGGCTTAAGCAGGGGGACATGTCTGGCACTGCAGGATTTGAGTCCCTGGCGGCGTAGTGTGTTACTGATGGTAGGCTTTGTTACTTTGGTCCCAGCTCTCTGCAGGTCATTCACTAGGTCCCCCCGTGTGGTTCTGGGATTTTTGGTCACCGTTCTTGTGATCATTTTGACCCCACGGGGTGAGATCTTGCGTGGAGCCCCAGATCGAGGGAGATTATCAGTGGTCTTGTATGTCTTCCATTTCCTAATAATTGCTCCCACAGTTGATTTCTTCAAACCAAGCTGCTTACCTATTGCAGATTCAGTCTTCCCAGCCTGGTACAGGTCTACAATTTTGTTTCTGGTGTCCTTTGACAGCTCTCTGGTCTTGGCCATAGTGGAGTTTGGAGTGTGACTGTTGTGGACAGGTGTCTTTTATACTGATAAGTTCAAACAGGTGCCATTAATACTGGTAACGAGTGGAGGACAGAGGAGCCTCTTAAAGAAGAAGTTACAGGTCTGTGAGAGCCAGAAATCTTGCTTGTTTGTAGGTGACCAAATACTTATTTTCCACCATAATTTGCAAATCAATTCATTAAAAATCCTACAATGTGATATTCTGGATATTTTTTTCTCAATTTGTCTGTCATAGTTGACGTGTACCTATGATGAAAATTACAGGCCTCTCTCATCTTTTTAAGTGGGAGAACTTGCACAATTGGTGGCTGACTAAATACTTTTTTCCCCCACTGTACATACATATACACATATATATATATATATATATATATATACATACACACACACACACCATTACACATCACTATTATTATAATACCAGTGCCAATAAAATAAAGGATAGTTGTAAACAAATTAACAAGAATGGCCCAAAAAATATGTGCAATGCAATCTGCAACCCTGTGTGTGTGCGCGTGCGTGTGAATTAAAGGGTCTGTCTAGCCCAGTAGTCTGCATATTAGATGCAGTAGTTGGCGCACCTCTCCTATCTCTGATAGTTCTAGGTGTCTTTTGCCAGAGGTTACCTCAGCATATGTAGGCTGATGATCTGAATGATACATGGCGTGGACTGCATCATGTGGTGTACTTCTCTGAAGGACAGTGTTCTGCCCGACCCTGGAGTAGTGGTCAGTGCTGTGTTGTGATGGGCCGGGTCCAGTAGAACTGTGTTGTGATGGGCCGGGTCTAGTAGAGCTGTGTTGTGATGGGCCGGGTCTAGTAGAGCTGTGTTGTGATGGGCCGGGTCTGGTAGAGCTGTGTTGTGATGGGACGGGTCTGGTCGTGCTGTCCTGAGGCGGGTCTGGTCGTGCTGTCCTGAGGCGGGTCTGGTCTGGTAAATCTGTGCTGTGTTGGGCCCGGTCTTGTAGAGCTATGCTGTAATAAGCCGTGTCTGGCTCTTCTCTCCTGGGGATGGTGGGGGTACTGTTGTTTCAGAAGGTGGGGCAGGGGGGCTCTGCTGCTGGGGTGATGGGTGTGTGGGTCCCTGCCAAGTGTTGCATCCTTTAGGTCCTTAGCAAAAGTTCTGACACTGTCCTGATCAAGATGTACATTATTGTATAAGTGTTCACATGTCAGAGTGGGATGGTGAGCCATTCTGACGTTGAGCAGTGAGGCACAGTCCACAGTGATCTGTTGATTTATTTTGTCGATCAACTGTCCTGGGAAGTATTTTCTTGGTAGGAGGGTGGACACAACTATATTGGTTGTTGGGAACATGGCCTGTTCCTGTTCTGCTTCTCCTCTCACTGCCCCAGATACATTTTCACCTTTGGCATGAAGGTCGTTTGTGCCAGTGTGGATGATGATGTTGTCGGGGGTGTCAATCCTGGTCTGACTGAGTAGCTGCAGTGCACTGTCAGTTGTAGGACACCAGAACTTATACACCTGGTGTCTAGGGAATAATCTTTCCTGGACTAAGAACTTCCCATTTGAATCAATAAGGATTGCAGTTGTGGGTGACTGTCTGGGTGGAGCAGACTGGGAGGCTCGTTGGCTGACCTGGGCTGGAGCAGACTGGGAGGCTGGTTGGCTGACCTGGGCTGGAGCGGACTGGGAGGCTGGTTGGCTGACCTGGGCTGGAGAAGGCTGGTTGGCTGACCTGGGCTGGAGCAGACTGGGAGGCTGGTTGGCTGACCTGGGCTGGAGAAGACTGGGAGGCTGGTTGGCTGACCTGGGCTGGAGAAGACTGGGTGGCTGGTTGGCTGACCTAGGGAAAACTGGGTGGCGGTTGTCTTGACCTGGGCTGGAGCAGACTGGGAGGCTGGTAGGTTGACCTGGGCTGGAGCACACTGTGCTGGAGCAGACTGGGAACCAGGTAGGCTGACCTGGTCTAGAGCAGACTGGGACGCTGGTTGGCTGATCTGGGCTGGAGCAGACTGGTAGGCGGGTGCAGTGTCATCAGGCTGTGTAGTGGAGGCCATGCTGGTCTCAGGTTCTGCTTGTGTTGTACCAGGCTGGTGGACATGTTCTCTAGATGCAGAGGACATAATGACTAGCTGCTGGTTGAGGGTGTCAATGTACCTCTCTCTCTGCTCTAGCTCCTTTCTTGTTGTGCTCAGATGGTCTCTGAGGTCATCATTTGTCTGATTCAGTTTGTCCATTCTGCTTTCTAATTTAGCAATAGATGCTCTGCTCTCCTCCCTGAACTGTTTAATCTCTTATTTTAGTTTCTGGACAGTGTCCTCCTCTTGAAGCTTGTTCTCTCTGAGTTCTATGACCTCTGCTTCGACGAGAGAGAGGGTGTTGTGGAAACGTTGCATAGCAGGTGTTCTTGGTGTTGTAGGCATGTCCTTGGCTTTGTCTGCTGCAGGTGAGGTAGGTAGAGGGACACTGAGGGCTTCTTGCTGGATCACAGAGACCGTTAGGGCCTGCTTTTTTCCATCTACCTCCTTGACTTGTTCCTCAGTTTCTGAGATGAGTTCAGCTTCTGCTTTTAGGGTAGCAAACATATTCTCAAAAGCCTGGAGGCTTGAATCATTGCCTTGTATCAATACAGTTCCATTATTATATAAGTTTACTGTTTGATACGTGTTACTCTGGTCAGCTTCTTCAAAAATGCTGATCTGACATCCTTGGCTGATGCCTCTCTTTTTTGAGAAAGGGAAATTGTTGCAAATAACTATTTTCCATATGTGCCCTCGTTTGGTATTAAATATTAAATGTGTTCTTGTTTTGCAACTGGTAAGATCTGCAAACAGGCATTCATGGTTCTGTCCCATCATCAAACCTTTGAAACTGTTCTTAGCTTTCTCCGTCTGGATGCCTGGTGGGTAAACAATTTCCATAGCAACGCTGTACACAATGTTGCAATAGAAGCATTGTTTCTTGTATTATTCTTGTATCTTTTAGAGGACTGTTTTACTTTGATGTCCTTTGTCTTCTGTCCTTATTTTGTCTTATTTTGTCTTTCTTTTCTTCTGTTAACTAGATATTCTTTGTTAGCTAGCTAGCTTCTTCCAGGAGAGTCCCTAGCAACTGCTTAGCAACTGGTAAACAATTCAGCTAGCTAAGATAACTGTACAATTTTATGAAAAATAGTTACTTTTTCAAAAGCCTTTCTTCTTTGTTTGTTGCTTGTTTTGTCTCTTATTCAATCTTGCAGTTTTCTTTTGGTTTTTTCCCGATGTACTTCATTCTAAAAACCATATACATTTCAATATTTGTAGGAGCTCATTTTTTCAGCAGCTTCTGCTCTATTTGGAATTCCGGAAAGGAGAGAGAGAGAGAGAGAAGAGAGAGGAGAGAGAGAGAGAGAGAGAAGAGAGAGGAGAGAGAGAGACGAGAGAGGAAGAGAGAGAGAGAGAGAGCGAGGGAACAAGCGGAGAGAGAGAGCGCGCGAGAGCGCGAGAGAGAGGAGAGAGAGAGAGCGAGCGAGAGAGAGAACGAGAGGGAACAAGAGAGAGAGAGACGCTAAGAGCAAAGAGAGAGAGAGAGAAAAAGAGAGGGAAAGAGAGAGAGAGAAGCGAGTAGAGAAGAGTCCTGTCTGCTTCTCTCCTCTCTTCTCTCTCTCTCTATCTATATCTCTCTCTCTCTCTCTCTCTAGTCTCTCTCTTCTTCCCCTATCTCTCTCTCTCTCTCTCGCTTTCTCCTTCCATCCCTCTTCACAGCACCATCCTATGCTGCAGTGTTCCTCTGCACATGCCCAGACTAGAGTACCACTGCAACTTCCAGCTCCAGGGAAATCTGAACAGAGCTCACAGCCAGCAGCACATTGTGAATTAACTTATGTTTATAAAAAAAAAAGACTATTTTGAAAAACAAATACAAGCAGTGTGATTTCACTGTGAGGCTATGCTTACAGTATATTTCGAGTTTACCCATCGACCAGCGGCTGTTTGAATATGTATGTTAGAATATTTTAATGGTTTCATTGTTGTTATTATTATTTTTTTACATTTGAGTAATTTAGCAGACAGTCTTTTACAGAGCGACTTACAATTAGTGCATTCATCTTAAGATAGCTGTGAGACAACCACATATCACAGTCGTAGTAAGTACATTTTCCCTCAACAAAGTAGTTATCGACAAAGCCCATACTAGTAGGAAATAATATTTTACATTTTTAATTTGTTATGCAGGGGGTTTACAGCATGAACAGCAGGGTGAAATGGAGCCTTGTGTGGTTGATACCATACAGACAGCAGACAGAGCAGAGGGAGTGTTGCTGTTTCCTGTGAACTCTCACTCTGACAGGAATGGTGTGCCCCTCGTGGGTTGCTGTAGGCCTAAGGCTAGTGTATAGTACTGTAAAGCTCTGGGAAATAGCTACTCCACACCAGCAGATACTGTACACACACGAACAAGCACGCATACACTCGTGATGCGCAGGTTGACCCGTAACAGGGCGGGCGGGTTTAGGGTCACAAAATATTATGTGGATGAAGTGGAGGTGGGTGGGGGACAGGGTTGAATAAAGAGAAAATGCATTTTAAAAAATCCATAAATACAGCATTAATTTCGCTTTTATAAAAATAAAAGTAAGGACGCCAGCCTGTGTTTTAATTATTGCCCCCTATCTTTGATTAACATAGATGTTAAACTATTTTCAAAAATTCAGTTGTCCCATCTCAAAACGTAGTTACCCAAATTGGTACATCCGGACCAAAGCGGGTTTGTTAAAAAAACGCTTTTCCTCAGATAACCTCCGTCGTCTATTACATATCTGACATGCTTCATCAGAAACCAAAGCTCCTTGGGCAGAATTATTTTTTTTGATAGACTAGAATGGTCAAATCTTTGGTCGGTTTTGGAACATATGGGACTTGGCTCCAATTTCGAATCCAGGCTCTGTCGAAGCCGGCCGCGACCGGGAGACCCATGGGGCGGCGCACAATTGGCCCAGCGTCGTCCAGTGTAGGGGAGGGAATGGCCGGCAGGGATGTAGCTCAGTTGGTAGAGCATGGCGTTTGCAATGCCAGGGTTGTGGGTTCGATTCCCACGGGGGGCCAGTATAAAAAAAAAATGTATGCACTCACTAACTGTAAGTCGCTCTGGATAAGAGTGTCTGCTAAATGACTAAAATGCAAATATTGTATGCGAATCCCTCAGCCATAGTAATAACAGGCAATACCTGCTCTGTTCCGCTCAGAATAACTAGAAGTAGCAGGCATACCTCTGCTATTGTTATTGTCTATGGAGCTCCTGGCCCAGGCAATTCGACAATTGAAAGAAATTACACCAATATCTCTCAATTCTACAGATCACGTAATCTCATTATACGCTGACTATAACTTACTTTATCTAGCCAACGTACCTCAATCCCTCCCAAATGCTTTGAAGGAAATAGACAAATTCAGCTCCATCTCAAGTTATAAATAAATCTAACCAAATCTGCCCTACTGCTTCTTAAGAAATCCTACTGCCTCTTATGAAATCCCAATCGTTTCCTATTCTAAATATTTGGGAATAGATATATTTCCTTCCTTAGATAAAATAATTGCCAGAAACTTTAACAGAATACTCAAATCAATTCAATCCGACCTCAGTAGATGGACTAATATCCCAATTGCTTTAACCGGCAGAATATCTATTGTCAAAATGAATATATTGCCACGGCTGAATTTCTGTAGTTCAGTGCTTCCCTTGTCTCCCCCTTTATTAGGATAAAATTAATACATGAAAATGTATATGGCAAGGTAAGTGAAATTAAAATTAACAAACTTACGAAGAGGGAAAGACGTAGGAGGACTATCGTACCAACTTTTAAATTGTATTTCCAGGCACTAGCATTAAAGTCCCATCCTAAATTGGTTTAAACGTGATTCTTCCTCCCCCTTGCTGAGTATATAGAGAAATATGGTGTCTCCTATTGCCCTGGAAGAGGTGGTCTTCACTGCTATATCCCTAAAACAACATCAACTATGTGTTGGTCCTATTATTGCTCACACAATTTCTATTTGGTGCAAAATTGCGAAACAATGTAATTGGGAATCAAAATGGCATGCCCATACTCCAATATTTCACAATAATGCCTTGCGATCTGAAGGCCTTTTGCAGCCCCGATGGAGACATGATAGGCTAGGAGGAATGGGATGGGGAGTTGGGGGTGTAGGCCCATCTCTTTTTGTTTATTTTTCTTTACATGCCAATTTTACTATTACAAAATCCTGTTTGATCAATATGATAATTTCTATATATGTATTTCATACATTAACATTTTACATTTTAGTCATTTAGCAGACGCTCTTATCCAGAGAGACTTACAATTTTAGTGAGTGCATACATTTTTCATACTGTCATCGCCTACAAGTGTGATTGGGGATTTCTATTGGAGAAGCACTTTCTGGCTATCTACATACTGTACTGTCAGATGGCACAATGAACCAGATATTTCACCGGAATAAATAAATAAATGTGAAGCATCCAGTTGGCCCTTCCACTCACTATATGGTGATGAGAGGAAGCCCAGTTGCCAGCAGTGGGAGACCAGTGGCCGACATGCTGCTAATTTACTCATCAAAGAAACATTTGATCTCAATACAGTTTTTTGTTTCCTAAACTAACATCTGTTACGAACAGAGTGGACTAAGTTTTGTAGACTTTACCCTTTGCCAAAGTTTCAACAATTTATTTTTATTTTTATAATATGCCATTTAGTTTTAAGAAGGAATGCAAGAGCGAATTGACTTATTGGAAACATGCACTTCACAAAGTAGGCGTTCCCTAACGGAAACATGCAAATACTGCTAGAACGTGCCAATAGGAACTCGCTAGCTCGTGCTTGGCTCTGCCCACCTCCTTGCTTGTTTTACCTACTATGATTAATTTGCTCCCATTGGAAACGACAGGTTAGTTGCGTTGGGTTAGTTATAAAAATTCACACACACACACACACACACGCACACACACACACACACACACACAGACAAATAGAGAGAGAGTCCACTCCACAACCAGTGTTTTTGTGTGAGCGTGTGTCTGTGTGTATGTGTGTGTGTCTGTATGTCTGTGTCTGTGTGTCTGTGTTCAAACAATTACATGGAGAGGCTGGTTGGGGAGAGCTCTCGGCACAGTTGGTTACCACACAGGAAACATGTGTCACATGATATCCAATGTCTCACCACCAATACACACCGCCATCTGGTAGCATGTTCTCAATTGA